GACAAAAACAGCCCTCACCAAATGAGGTGCAGGTGAAGGCACGGACCTAAGGACAACCTGCTCTGGCAGCAGTGCCCTCCTGGTGAAACGGGGCAGCCAGGGGCACGGGGACAGGCTCCGCTGCAGAGAGCGCCGTTCCAGACCCGTCTCCCCTCCGCTGGCCAGGACCCGCCAGGGGCTCTGCCCACGCACCCCGGGGACAGCAGCGCTGCGCACAGATGCTCGGGGGACGCACCGGGGCTTCCCACGCCACTGCACAGCCCTGGCTCCAGTGTCCGACCCCGGCTTCTCGTTCTCGCTGATTCCCGTCCGCTCCGTGCCGCCCGACCCTGCCTCCCCACGGGGGCTGCTCCCGGCTCCCTCCCGCTCCGTCCTGCTTCCCCGTGGGCGGCTTCTCCCGGCTCCCTCGCACCCCGTCGGGTGCTGCCCCAGCTCCATCCCACCCGATCCTGGGGCTCCCTCGGGGACTGCCCTGGTTCCCTCGCGCCCCATCGAGGGCTGCTCCTGGCTCCGTCCCACCGGATCCCGCGGCCCGTCGGGGCTGCCCCGGCTCCGTCCCACCGGATCCCGCGGCCCGTCGGGGCTGGCCCGTGCCCACGCCGCGGTCGCGGTGGTTCCTCACCTGGCCGGGGCTGGCCCGCCGCGGCCCATACAAGGCAGAAGAATGCGGCGGGGCCGGGGCCGCGGGGCCGGCGCGCGCTCCCGGCCTTATATAGACGAAAGGGCGGCGGGCAGCGCCTGCCCCCGAGCCCCGCGGGCCCGGCCGCGGCGCGGGGAGCCCCCGGGGCGGCCGCGGCTCCGCTCCGGGCGTCCCCGTTAACGGGGCAGCGAGGGAGAATGAGCGCCAGGGGCCCTGGCTCCTGCTCAGCCCGATGCTCCGATCTCTCCTGGCTGCGTGTCGGCCAAAGCACCTAGTTAACCTGTGCTTGGAGATGGGGTCAAAAGGGCCCCAGAGTGGGGAGAGGTTGGGGCTGGGGTGCCAGAGCTGCCCTGACGTCGCGGCCTCGAGCCCAGGGTGAGGGCGTTGGGAGCAGGATGAGGGCGCAGCCCTAGGCTGCTCCCAGGGTGCAGCCCAGGGTGACAACAGGCCCTGCACACAGTGCGTCCTGGCTGCACAGGGAGCTGCATCCCCGTCCTTGCCTCAATCCCTGGGAAGGTGATGGAGCAGTTTTTTCCAAAGGCCATTTCCAGGCACGGGAAGGACTGGAAGGTGATCGAGAGGAGTCGGTATGGATTCACAAACTGGAAATGCTTTGCCAGCTGGAAAGCCTTCTGTGATGGGATGTCTGGCTGGGTACATGAGGGGAGAGCCGTGGATGACGTCTACCTTGAAATCAGCAAGGCTGTTGACACTGTGTCCCATAACGTCCTCACAGAGAAGCTCAGGAAGTGGGATAGATGAGCAGAGTGAAGTGGATTGAGCACTGGCTGAATGGCAGAGCTCAGGGGATTGTGACCAGTGGCACAAAGTCTAGTTGGAGGCCTTAAGCTAACGGTGTGTCCCAGGTGCCAGGACTGCCAATCCTGTGACCCAATCCTCAGTGACCCAGATGAAGGGAAGAGTTCCACTTCGGCACGTTTGCTGATGGTACCAAGCAGGGTGGAGGGGCTGATACCCCAGAGGGCTGCGCTGCCATTCAGATGGACCTGGAGAGGCTGGAGAGCTGGGCAGAGAAGAACCTCATGAAGTTCAATAAAGGCAAGTGCAGGGTCTTGCACCTAGGGAGGAATAATCCCATGTACCAGGACAGGCTGGGGACTGACCTGCTGGAGAGCAGCTCTGCAGAGAAGGACATGGGGTCCTGGTGGACAACAAGTTGGCCCCATGAGCCAGCAATGTGCCCTCTAGGAAAAGTGTTGCCAGCAGATTGAGGCAAATGATCCTCCTCCTCTATTCAGCCCTGATGAGGCCACATCTGGAGCACTGTGTCCAGTTTTTGAACCCCTGGTACAAGAGAGACATGGATCGACTGGAGAGTGTCCAGCGTAGGGCTACAAAGATGATTAAGGGACGGCAGCATCTCTCCTGCAAGGAGAAGCTGAGAGAGCTGGCACTGTTTACCCTGGAGAAGAATGAGGGAGGACTTTATCAATGTGTGTAAGCATATGAAGGGAGGGCACAGAGCAGATGGGGCCAGGCTTTTCTTTTCTGTGCTGTCCAGCAACAGGACAAGGGCACAGACTGAAACACAGGAAATTCTGTCTGAACGTGAGGAAAAACCTCTTTACTGTGAAGGTAACTGAGCACTGGAACAAACTGCCCAGAGAGCAAATCCCAGAGAGGTTGCGGGATCTCCATCCTTGGAGATATTTCAAAGGCACCTGGAGAGGGTCCCCCTAGGTGACTGTGCTTGAGCAGGGGGTTTGGACTGGATGACCCCCAGCGGTCTCCCAACCTCAGCCGTTCTGTAATTGCTTCCAATCACCTGCCCCACTCCACGACCCTGCACAAAGGGGAGCTCAAGCCCTGCAAGCTCCCAGCCGGGAGGGTGCTGAGACGCCTCCCAGAGTGGATTTGCCTTTGGCTTGGAGGTGTCACCAATCTGCGGGGTTTATTCAGTCCAGCACCGTGGAAGTGTCACTGCTGAAAAGCCTCTGCGGGGGCAAGGCAGAGGCTGCCCGTTCAATGGGGCAACGGGCGGCACGCTGCCCAGGGCCGGGCACTGGCGGCAGCTGATGGGGCCGCAGCGGAGGGCGAGCGTGGCGGAGCACGACGCCGGAGCCCGCCGCGCCGCCCGTGCCCTGCACGGCCTTGCCACGCGCCAGCTCTGCCCACGGGTTTCCCTGCAGCCTCCCGAGGAGAGGGAAAGTCAGCGGTGAGAGAGCACGAGCTGCCACCTCGCGGCTGTTACCAAGGCGGGTTTTTTAATGTGCATCTGCTGGAGGAAAGCCCCAACTCGGCCCTGGCAGTGAATTTTCCTGTAAAGAATAGTTCCTTGCCTGCTCTCGGAGGAACCACTGCCCCTTGCGGTGCTTCTGCTTCCCCCGCTTCGAGCAGACTCATGGCAAGCCCTGTGTGAATGACTGATGAAGAGCAGCAGCATTGGACTTAGGAGGTCATAGATTCACAGAGTGGTAGAGGTGGGAAGGGACCTTTGGAGATGATCTAGTGCCACCCCCCTGCTCAAGCAGGGGTACCTGGAGCATGTGGCACAGGATCGTGTCCAGGTGGGTTTTGAAGATCTCCAAGGCTGGAGACTTCACACAGCCTCTCTGGGCAAGCTGGCCCCAGTGCTGTGACCCTCATAGTCAAAAAGTCTTCCTTAGATTCAGACTGAAATTCTTGTGCTTCAGTTTCTGTCTGTTACCTCTTGTCCTGTGACTGGGCACCACTGAAAATAATCAAATGATCTGTGCCCATTTTCTTGACGCTCTCCCTGAAGATGCTCTTCCACACTGATCGGATCACCTCGCAGTCTTCTCCAGGCCAAAGAGGCCCAGCTCTCTCAGCCTCTCCTCCAGTCCCCTGAATGTCTTCCTAGCCCTTGGCTCCGTGTAGCTCCGTGTCTCTTGTGCTGGGGAGCCTGGAACTGGCTGCGACTCCGCAAAGGGTTTGTGCATGCTTTGCTCCCTGGGTGCTCCTCTTCCTCTTACATGTGCCTGCCAACACGGATCCCTTAGCAGGGTCCTCTCTTTGTCACCTCTCTTCTGCCTCCTTCTTATCTTGTTCTTCCAAGCTGTGATTTCACTCACTTTTCTCTTAGGGCAGGGTATCAGGAAGTGGAGATGGAATAATACAGGATAGCTTCTTAGCATAAAAGTTTTAGAATAGTTCTCTGATCCAGTGTGTCTCATGGTCATGTAGACGATCCTGCTCCCGTGAAGAGACATGGACCTCTTGCTAGGACCATGGACCTGAGGACACTGAGATCACTTATGTGTCCTAGACATGGCACAAAGTCATGGAAGAGACTGATGCCGGTGCCCCTGGAATCACCCCCCGTGCGAGCTTGGTGAGCCGGTGTGTCGCGGTGCGGTGGGCACAGGGCAGAAAGGGCACGTGCAGCTGTGCACGGGTGCCCCTCACAGCTGGCGCGGCATGGACCCGTGGCAGGTCCAAAAGCACCTTGCAGAAGCTGTGTTTAAACGCCATTGACAAAGTGGGGAGTGGTCAGAGGTCTGGGAGATAAGGCAGTGAACCTCCCCACGCGCGTGTGCAGAGCTGTGCATAGGCCAGCAAATAAGTGATGGCTCCATATGAGATCTTTGTAAGAGCTGGGCCTCACTGACAGCAGCAAGTTTAACGGCAAGGCCAAGGTCTTCCAGCAACACCTGAGGTGACCCTAGAGCTACTGAACTGAATGGATCCTCAGGCTGACCACCAGAAGGAGGTATCTCCACATATCCATGTATGTATTGGATATAGGATCGTGCATTGCCCCAGACCTTCATGTGGGTGTCCATCTGCGTGTGTTCCGTTACGTTCCTACAACAAATTCACCCTTATTAGCAAGAACCATTGATTAACGGTAACAAAGGCAGCCACCGAGTATGTTGGGGACTGTCCTTGAGCCCTGGGGTGGGTGGCAGGAGAGTGAGCAGGCGAGCAGGAGCGCCGGGGTCCCTTCCCGAGCCCGAGCCGGGCTCTGGGCCTGTTCCAGAGTGTCCCGGGGTGTCCGTGTGCAGCCGCGGCCGCACGGCGCTGCTTGCCGTCCCGCCGGGACACTCGGTGCCCAGCTGCGCAAGCGGAGCCCCTCGGGGGCAGAGCGATCATCAGCGCGCACAGAGCAGGCCCTGCTACGAACCCCAGCGCGCCCGTGTGCCGGGGACACGCGTGTCCCTGCCCCCGCAGGACGAGCCGCCCTGGGCCGCGCCGTGGGGGCGGGGCCATGGGGACACGGGGCGGGGCCTCTGAGCAGGCTCCTCCCACCGCCGCCGTAGCCCCGCCCGCGCCTTTTCATCGCGTTTGGTCCCGCTCGCGCGCCGTAGCGCGGCGGGGGGCGGGGCGGGCTGCCGCCGTCACGTGGCCGGCGGGCGGCGGCGGCGGCGGCGGCGGGACGATGAGCGGCGCGCGGCGCAGGGAGGAGCAGCCGCCGCCGCACGCGCAGCACCCGCACGCCGTGCCCAACGGCGGCGCCGCGCCGCGCGCCTCCGCGTGGAGCAAGGCCCTGCGCAGCCGCGCCGCCTGGCACGACAAGGTGGCGGCCCCGGCCCTCCGCGCGGCTCCCGCTCCCTGCGCGTCCCGCGCGCTTCGCTTCGGCCCGGCCCGGCCCGGCCCGGTTCCCCTCGGCTCGGCCCGGCTCGGTTCGGCCTGGCTCGGCTCGGCCCGGCCCAGTTCGCTTCGGCCCGGCTCGGTTCGGCTCGGCCTGGCCCGGCCCGGCCCAGCTCGGTTCAGCCCGGCCCGGCTCGGCCCTGCTCGGCTCGGCCCGGCTCGGCCCAGCTCGGTTCAGTCCGGCCCGGCCCTGCTCGGCTTGGCCCAGCTCGGTTCAGCCCGGCTCGGCCCTGCTCGGCTCGGCCCGGCCCGGCCCGGCCCAGCTTGGTTCAGCCCGGCCCGGCCCTGCTTGGCTCGGCCCGGCTCAGTTCAGCTCGGCCCAGCTCGGTTCAGCCCGGCCCAGCCCTGCCCGGCTCAGTTCAGCTCGGCCCGGCCCTGCTCGGCTCGGCCCAGCTCGGTTCGGCTCGGCTCGGCTCAGCTCGGCCCGGCCCGGCCCGGCCCGGCCCAGCTCGGTTCAGCCTGGCCCGGCCCAGCTCGGTTCAGCCCGGCCCGGCCCAGCTCAGTTCAGCCCAGCCCGGCTCGGTTCAGCCCGGCTCGGCCCAGCCCGGCTTGGCCCAGCTCGGCCCGGCTCGGTTCAGCTCGGTTTGGCGCCCCTGCTGCTCGCGGAGCTCGGCGGCGCCCGGCGGGCCCTGGCTCAGCGCAGGCCCGGCCCCAAAGCCGAGCCCGCTCGGGCGGCCCGGCGCTGCGGGCGCCTCCCGTCCCTCGATCCAGGGCGTTTGGGTGGAACTGGGCCCGAGTCAGCAGAGGGGCCGGGCACGTGCTCGCTCCTGCGGCCAGCCGGACAACGCGGGGTCGCTTTGAGAGCCGGGAGCTCCAGCGTGGCTGATGAGGCTTCGTCGTGAGTTAGACAAAACTCGTCGTTGCTCCCAACGAAGCCTCTTTCTGCTCCGAGTGCAGTACATAGTTTAGTTAGGGATAACTGAAAAAGCAGAACAGCATGTTCACACTTTTTTCACTTGTTAATCGTACGATGCCTTTAAAAAAGCAGCAAATGCAGTAATTTTTTTTGTGCTTTGTCTCCACAGGATGAGTTTTTAGATGTGATCTACTGGTTCCGGCAGATCATCGCGGTTATTTTGGGCATCATCTGGGGAGTAGTCCCACTGAAGGGATTCGTGGGCATAGCAATGTAAGGTTTATTTCCTTTCCTGTGTCGTGTATTTTCTCCCTGTTTTTTTCTGTCTGTTTCAAGCCGTGTTCCAACTAGTGCACTGGCCAAATGCAGCATTGCTCTGTTTTACCTCTTAAGGTCAACGTTTCAGGCTGTTACTCGCCATGAACTGCCCTTCATGCAAATGAGTCTCTTTCTACCCCTTTGGCCTTAGTCAGGTCATGCTTTCACTGTTATTATTGTGAAAGAGAGGGAGAAAGGAGTAACGGGACAGGTATCACTGACTCGTGAAGCAGGCTGTGCCTGCCTGTGTGAAGAGGGTCTAATAGCATGGGACCTAGTGGGACCCTCTAGGAAGTGAGGAGACCCACTGGGAGAGGGGCGGTGGCCCTTGCTTTTGGAGAGGGGATGCTGCAGGTAGACAAGAGAGGGCAAAGCGTCCTCAAAGACACCAAAGAGGGTGGGTAAAACCCGAGCGGGCGGCAGCAGAGGTGGTGTCGCCGCACACGGGCGACCAGCCTGAGGTCTCCTCTTTCAAGGGGCGCCGTGGGGCGGAGGAGAGGCCTAGGAGGGCGACCTCGCAGGGCCGTGCGGTTCCCATCACCTCCCAGCCGGTGCCTGAAAGCTGCAGGGAGCTCCCTAATGTTTGGGGTGACCCCTCGGGTCCGCAGAGATCAGGGGCGCGCGGCTCTTCCCTGTGGTCTTTGGGGGTGCTGTGTGCGTTTGGGGCAGCCTGCCTCTTGCTGGGATCTTTGCTGAGGCTGGAGTCGTGGCCCGGTGTTCGGCTGGCCCTGGTGTGGGGTCAGGTTCGTGGCTCCTGTAAAGCCGTCCATGGGTTTCTAGTGCTGACGCTGCCTGCTGTTCCCATGCAGAACCAAGTAGTTTATTCCTGTCATTCCCCGAGACACGGAAAGAGAAACCATGCGTGTACAACCTGGATTTCTCTTAAGCACAACACTGCAACTATCTTACTGAGTCTAAGTAGCAGCTATGTGGGGGTGCATTACTTAGACAAGAGCCTTATTCCTAAACATTTGAGGCAGCCTAACTCGTGCCATCTTTGTTTACATCCCTGAGTGCCAGTCAGGCCCGGTTCTCTTTCCACTCACTTGCTTCCTTGAACTGGAGCCCCTGCTCTATCAGCTGCAGTAATAGACAGTGGGGTACACAGGTACATTGGTTCCTGTGGGGCAGTAATAAATGGATTCACCCAACAGGCTGCGCCTGCTTCCTACCCTTGAGTAGGAAATTTTGGTAAATGTGTTTTAGGTTTTTGGATTAAGGAGACCTGATGCAGCCAGATTTCTGCTACTGGCCTATTTAAGTTGGCATTCACGTATGCCAAAGGTTTGTGTGGTTACACGAGCTATGATTCTGCTGGTATTAGAAGCAAAATGGATGTAGAACATACATCCCCCTCAGGATCTCTTGGAGCTGTTCCCAAGGGCTTAGGCTAATAGCTGGAATACTAGTGGTTGAGTCGTTCCCTTTACACTCCATAGTCTGACCAATTCTAGCTAGTTTGCTCAAGTGTCCTCGTCTAGACACTTTATATCAATGATACTGAAGTGCCTGGAATCCACCCCTTCTGTGCCTAATCCACCAGCTCCAAATCTGGTGGAAACATCTCCCACAGTCCGGCTTTCCCAATGGCGTTTCCGTCACTGATCGCCCGTGGGTGTTGTCCTCTGTGAGCAATCAGGGTGCCCTTCACTGCTATTAGTGCTCTGCCCTCAAATCACAGCGTAAAATTCCCAAACTCCAGAGGTGCAGGTCCCCAAGCAGCCCCTCGGGAAGCCCCTGAGCGGCTCTTGCTCGTGCTGTGCTCATGACGGGAGAAGACGGGGGGTTTGGGTCCCGCTCCGCTCGTCCCGCAGCGGAGCCTTGAGCTCGCCGGCCCCTCGGCACGCGCGCTCGGAAGCTGGTCCTGCTGGCTCTGTGCCGCGTGGCCGTTGCCGCCCTGGTCAAGGTCATCTGGTAGATGCACGTGTGCTGTAACGCTCCGTGGTGGTGACACAGCAACATCAAAATTAGTGGTGTAACAAGCGAAAAACAGGATAGTGCTGTGAAGGTCAGATAGGCCTGGTTTTCGCTGAAGGCTCCGTTCCTGCACACCAGTGAGAACACTGGCTGTAGCGGGCTTGCAGCAGGCCGGTTGAACAGGAGTTTTCATTCATTTATCCAGCAGTTCCTGGGAAGGAAACGAGCTGACGTGGGCCTTGGATTGTGTCCAGGCCTCAGTAATGATTAATTCCCCTGCCGTAGTACGGATAGGTTCACGCAGTCCTTTCTGCCAGCATGTTGCTGAGCCTGTTGCCTGCTCTCCAGGGTGCCCTGTGAGGTGTCTGAGTTCCCTGGAGGTGTCTGCTGGCAGGCTGGGCTCCCGCCTCCCATTGAGCTTCGTCCCCACGGGGTGCCCCATTGTGCCCCTTCGTGGCCCATGCCAGCTTCTGGCCGTAGCGTCGTGCTGAGCTCAGTAGGGTGAGGGGGGAGCCCTCTCCCTAGGCGGGCTGCCGAGCTCCCCGGCCAGCAGGGTGTCGAGCCGATCCACCAAGGGAAGCGCAGGCCCGTCGTGGAGTTGTGATGTGGAGCCTGCAGTATCTGAGAGGATTTCGGAGCCTCTGCTGAAGGTCAGACCTTGTCTGGCTGAGATGGGTCTGGCTGGCTCTGGTGTCTGGATTTGCACTGGCCATTCGCGTTTCAGGCCCTAGCATGAGCCGTGTGGTAGGCGCAGAGCTTGACGGGCCCTTGCACCTTCTTCTAAACTCTTCTGTGGCAGGAAAGTGGAGGAGTAGCAGGGGATATCTCTAAGAAAAAAAAAATGTGGTAGAAAGGGAGGTCTAAACACTTGAGTCTCCAAGAAGAGCTATATGTGCAGACTGCCCAATCTAAAATGTTCTCCTTGATAGATATATAATAACAGTTACTTAGCCATCCATTAATTCCCAAGGCACCTTCAGACACGAGTCAGTTCCTGTGCTGAGCATTAATAGGGGTTAAAATTAATTAGAAAAGCGCAAAGCTCCGAAGCTGTACGTGGCTGGCTGCTCTGACCATGCCGGGCATTGCGCTGCCTGGTGCTGCTCAGCGTGGTGGCTGTGGGTGCCCTGCGGCCACCGTGCCAGCCGTGCCCGGGACAGCGTGGTGGCGGGCTGGTGGACCCCTGTGCTCTCCCTGTGGGAGTTATACTCCCTAATATCTCTCTCTTTTTTTTTTTTTTCTCTTCCAGATTCTGCCTCATCAATGCTGGTGTTCTGTACCTCTACTTCAGTAGCTTCCAGCAGATAGATGAGGAGGAGTATGGTGGAACGTGGGAGCTGACGAAGGAAGGATTCATGACGTCATTTGCACTCTTTCTGGTAGTGTCTCTTGTTCCCTTTAAGCTGCTCTGTGAGTTGAATTGATGTGCTTTCCATGCTAAAACCCCTGCGGAGAAGAGCAGGTCCCTGGTACATAGATAGGAGAAAGGTTAACGTCATCTAATAAATAGGGCTGATCAGCAAAGAGAATCCTCAAATCTACTGGCTCCTGCTTATGAAGTAACAGAGGAGGAGGAAGGAAGAGGCAGACACACTTTTGCACCCACCACTTATCTTTTATGCCTTCCTCTCCTCTGTCACAAATGCACTGCTGCCCAGCTCTGGTGGAGCTTCCTCCCGAGCTATTTATTTCCAAACTGAGTTCATGTTTGAGCCTTTACGTTCCCTCCCTCCACCAAGCCACTGAATACGCTCGTGATGCAAACGCTCCTGGTTGGGTGGTGCCTCTGAAACAATGTCAGTGTTTTGAGAGAACTTTAGGACAGAGACATTAGCCTGGAAACCAAGCTAGTTGAGTGCCCCAGATCACGGGGCACGGTGATCCTGGTGTCTCTGAGCCGGCCTCGAAGCCGAATTCAGTCTGCAGTCCTCTCTTGAGAGCTGGGCGTGAGCTTTGCTTCGGTGTTTGAAGCCTCCCTAGAGGTATCAAGATAACCTCAGCTTCCTTTCCTCTCCACAGGTTGTTTGGATAATCTTCTATACTGCCATTCACTACGACTGACACAGTCTGCAGCCCTTGCCTGTGAAATCTGTCTTCAGTAAATCAAGAAGGTTTTAATAAATCATCATCTCTGGCAGACTGGTGGGAAGGTGGGGGACGTCAAACCAGCTCCCTCCTGTTCCAGCGGTCTCACGAGCCCGGGCGAGGTTTTGTACACCTGCTGCTCGCTGGAACTTTTAAAAGCCATTGATCTTCTCACAAGTGGTTCAAGACTGTTCAACTTCGAACTCTTCCTGTGACTGTAGCCAGTCACTGTGTCCAACTTCTGTATGCTGAAGGCTGAATCTGATAATTTAACGTGTGTATGCCCTCTGTTTGAGATCTGTCATTAAATCCTGACTTGTCTTCCATTGTTGTCCTTCAGAAAAACAGTTTTAAAAAGCCGCTGTGAGGCACTTGGGAGGAAGGCCCTGCAGCATCCGGGATGAGTTCAGTGGCTGCCCTCCAGCGCCATTGAAGTGATCAGGTCTGACTCGATTAAACAGACTGTGTTGTCACCATTTCTAAGTTTTCTCTTTTGTTTTATGCTTTTTCGCCAGAATATTCAAATGGTCTTTGTTGAAGATGTTTTTTAAGCAACTTTCCTGGGAAGAATTTATAATTAATTGATTAATGAATGTTTAACTTGAAAATAGTATTCAGGAGAAATTTCACTGCATTCTGTTAGCCTGGCTATTAACTCAGTTGCTGGAGCTTACTGCAGAGTTCAGGAGTCCCGATGGATATTCATTCTGGAGGTAGCCTTCTAAAGGTTAAGCATTTCAATTCCAGAATAATTTTTTAAGATGTTGAATGAAATGAGATTCGGATGATCTTTTTTGAGGAAATGCAGGACACTGAGACACAATTGAGGCAGCTAATATCTTAAAGACAGAATTACTAACTTGGATATCAGGCATGCTCGGTAAAGTACAGGGCCTCAAAATCGAAGGTATTCTTTGGTTTAATCACTCAATAGCTGAGTGATGCCCTTTTGGGGCATCAGTTGGAGGATCTCTCCTTTAAAAATATTTTCAAGACATGTCTTTCAGAAATTGTTACCATGAAACACGCACAGTGCCACCCACTTGTTGTCCTAGGACCTTGCAGCCAAGTTGCTCTGTAGTCCTTGCTTTTCTAAGCTCATGCACTCAAAACAGTCCTTATCTAAAGTTGCCTTATAGGGAGGATTTCATACTTCTAATATGCTCATGCTGAAGCTCCACGTTGCTTCCTGTTGCTGGAAGCCTCTGGCTGTGACATGTGGGTGTGCAAAGGTGGGGAGCTTAGTCACTTGAAGTGCTGAGCTCCAGAATCACCCACCCCAGCAGCTCTCCACCCTCAGCCAGGCAGATGATGTTGTGTGTGGGGAGAAACAGCTCTCTTAGGTCCTTGATTTGCTGATGGAAGAGTGTAAGGGCAGCTTCTGCTACATGTGAGTTGCCAAGTAAGTTTTCTCAAATCGAAATTTCTGCTTGTTCCTCTCCAGCCCCAAATTTGCTCGTCTTTTCAATTTGATCTTTTCTCCTGTCAGCTGAAAGCGTTAATTTTCCATGAGAATTACATACTCGGCTCTTTCTAGGTCACCCTTTGCTAGTGGCATCAGTTTGCCTCTTTGCTGTCCCCAGCCATCAGTAAAATCATTGTATACTTGAAATGCTGTAATAAACATCACCTGGATAACCACTGTGCAGCTTCTGGATCCTCTGTTTTTCTGTATCCTCTGAAATGGTGCAAGATGTTGACAAGGGGGAATCCTTCAAGACTTTGACTTTTTGTAAATGGCAGCCAGCAGCTCTTTGGGATTCCCTGGTCCCTTGTCATGCTGCAGGTTTTAATCCTGTCCTTTCAGAAGGGGACAGGGAGCATTTTCAGTGGAAGTTTAAGTTAAGCCCAGGTTTAAGTCCATGCTTTGGTGATTAACCGAGACTGCCAATTGTTGCATCTGTGTAAGCTCTTCTGCTCTTTCAGCTGACCCACTGCTGCATTGCAGAGTGCCCAAATTGCACAGCGTTGAAAGTGCAAAGTGACAGAAAGTTGCTTGCCTGCCTTTTTGCTTTATTCCTGGCTTGTCTGCAGTCCTACCTGTTGAGTTTCTTGGAGGTTTTTTATGGTTTTCTGTAGCGGGGCAGACTGGAACCTGAGGCAGAGCCTGAGTGATTTATGTTTTGAGAAGGACTGTGATATGGGAAGGACGTCTGGTCCTCTGCATCTCTAGGGTAAGAAGTTGGTGAATTCAGCTGCTCATTTGCCAGCTTTTAGCCTTCTAGGGTGTCTGTTTTGTGGCGTTTCTCAATGGTTAGAAGCAGGTTTCTCCAGCACTGGTGCCAAGACAACTGAAGCTGTGGCAGCTGCCCTCAAGGAACTGGGGCCAAGGGAAGCAGCAGCCTGCAGAGTGGAGCTGAGCGTCTCAAAGAGGTGAGTGCTGTGAAACCAAGGGTCTTTTTGCAGAGACTTTAGAGATTGATGGGGGAATTGTCTAGGAGGGAGCATGAAAATGAGTGCTAGGAGGGAAAAGAGCAGCAGCAGCTGGCAGGTTTAGGGACTGCAGTGAAGGGGAGCAATAGGTTTGTGCAGCATCTCTGTGCCTAGCAGTTCTGGACCTGTTTGCGCTCTCAGGGATGGCAGGTAACTTGAGCACTGGCTGGTGGGAGTCTCTGCCACTGCGGAGCAGAGACTCCAGGAGAACAAGGGCTCTCCGGGGCTAGGGAAATGATCTGTGCAGCCAGATGGCAATACACAGTGCCTTGGCCCTTGGCAGAAAGCAGCAGGTCCCTAGAGAGGAGGATATTCCCTAACCTGGTCTCCCGCACCGCAGGGAGAGCGGAAGATGTTCTGGCGTGGAATAGGTGGGATTTTTGTGCTCTCCTAGTCTCCCTTGGATTTCAGACACAAAATTAAAGCTTTAATGTGAGTTATTTTTCTTGTTAAAGGGAAAAGCCAAGGTGTGGATGCAAATATGTGCAGGACGTGGTGAGAGGAAGTTGCACCGTGTGTCTTGGCAGTCGCAGTTGTCAGGCAGCCGTTGGGTAGCCCTGCAGTTCCGAGCTGTGTGAGCACCCAGCACTGTGTAAATTTACCATCTGTATTGGCAGTTCATGAGGGAATTCTGCTGGTGGTGCTCATCTTTTGCAGCACTTGGGCTGTCCTTGACGTGGGGCTTGCCGAGGCTGGGAGCACATCCCTGGGGCTGCAGAGCCTCTGCCCACTCTGGCATCTCCGGCTTTTCCCTAGGCAATTTCCAAGCTTGCCAAGACTGCACTGTCAGGATTCATCTGTAGGCAGGTGACGGAGCTGGTTGGTTTTGGTACCTGAGAAAACACAAGAGAAGTAGAGGGCAGCTGGAGTCTAGAGAACTGAAGAAGTGGGAAGTAGAGCCCTGCCTTCAGGCGCTGTGAAACCCTGTGTAGGTCAGGTACGTGGAGGTGGTGTTGGCTGAGGACTTGTAGGACAGCGGCGTTCTTGATCATACTTCTAAGGGACTTCATTTCGAGAATGTCCTTTAATGCAATCGAGTGAGTAGAGTGCACAGAGCTCCTGGGCTTGGGAGAGATGCAGTGGTGGAAGAGGGACCTTGGGGACGAGGGGATCGGAGAGACGTGAAAATAGAGCAGGCTGAAACTGGCTACCCTGCTATGGGCATTCAGCTAGTGATTGGCAGTGCCCACCATGCCCTCAGACTGCCGGAGTGGATGAACAAAACCTTGCCACTGCCAAGCCAGGGTAGGTTTGCAGCTCTCTTCATTATGGCACACTCAGTTATAACTATTTGCGGCATTTCCTGCCTAATTCTAACCAGGGAAGAGCCGGGGGCATTGCCTGGCTCACTGGAAGATGAGGAAATAGGATGTGTGCGTATGTTCTCATCGCCTCTTCACAGGCAAACAGCCCAGTGTCCCATTTCCAAAAGCAGCAGGTGTCCAGCATACACAGGGCAAAGAATGAATTTTGGGCTCTGTCAGCCAAACAAACAAGTGGCATGTGCCAAACTGAAAGGGCAATAGCCTCGTTCCAACAGAGGTGTGGAGGGGGGGGGTAATTTCTGCACACCCAAAGCACTTTATTTGATCCAGAATCAAACACTCTCCTGCTCTCAGTTATTTTACTTTTTTTTTTTTTTTTTTTTGAGGAATTCTTGAGGGTAAAAAAATAGTTGAAACATTTTGCCCATTCTGATTTCAGAAATGTCAGTGCAAAATACTTTGCCAGTGTCCCCTCTCCTTGTATGCATTTCTAGCCAAAGCCTTCCCCAGGTGTGATGGCTGATCACTGATTGCGTTGAACACCCAGCATGCAGAGGAGGCAACGTCGCAGGTCACACACGGGCCTTGAGGGCGGCGAATGCGCTCGGACTGCCGCTGTGGGGACCCCAGAGCTGCCGAGACTCGAGGCTCAGGCTTGGCGCAGCCCTGCCACGTTCGTGCAGCGCGCCAGCCGCGGCCTGGCACACGTGGCGCTGGTCGGTGACGCTGCGCGCGTCAGCGTCCAGCCTGGCTGGTGTCACCCCGAAAAGGCCGCGCCGCAACCTGTCCTGCTGCAGGAATGAGCGCAGCCGCGCAGCCCTGAGCAAGACCCTTGCCCAAGGCCCAGCCCTTCGCGGGACAGCACGGTGAGCGGCCCAGCAATGTGGCGGCTCTGCCACGGCGCCATGGTGCGTTGCACAGGCAAGCGTCCTGATCGCGGAGTGCGGCTCCGTCACCAGAAACCCCGGGGTGAAGCCAAGGAGCAAGCAGAGGGAGCTACCAACCACCACCCGCCTTCCTGCTGGGAAGGATGGCTCTGCCACCAGCACGCCCCTGGCCCCCGCTCCCACCAGGAGACCGCTCTCCTGGGCTGTGCGCGCAGAGAGCAGCCCGCCTTGTCCCCACGCTGTCCCCGAGTGCCCAGGTTCACAGGCCGTCCCGCCGATGGCACAGCAGGGTGGGTTGTGTCCTCCCCTCCTTCCTACCCACTCCTCTCCCAGGGGCACAGCTGCCCGTCCCCACGCTCAGCTCCATGGCGTGTCACCACGCCGCCTGGCTCCCTTCAATGCTGCCTCGCTCCCTTCCGCCTTATCCTGGCCGGTTATCCTGGCCGGCAGCACAAGGCGATGCCTCAGCCGGGCAAAATCCTCCCAGCAGCGGGGAGCAAGCTGCCTTCCCAGCACAGGGGACCTCTGGGCAGAGGGCCACCCGTGATGGCAGGTGACATTTATTTATTTTCCTGGACAAAAAATAACAGAAAGAGCTGCCCAAACAGAGTGTTTTGTGCGCGCGGCCGCGGCGCCGGCTGCAGCCCGAGCCCCCCAGCGCCGCGAGGGGCCGTGGGGCTGAGGGCTCGGGGCGGCCCTGGGGGCCGGGCTGCCCCGGGGAGCCGCCGGG